TGAGATGGAGGTCTTGTGAACCTTTTTGCTCAGGCTGGCTTCAAGTCCCAGTCATCCTGATCTCTGTCTGCCTCCTTTCTTCCTTCCCTGCTTCCCTCCCTCGTTCCCTTCCTCCTTCCCTCTCTCTGTCTTTCTTTTTCTCTTTCTTTGGTTCTCTCTCTTAGGCTTGGACTCAGGATCTAGGAACTGCCTTTATCTATTTTGCTCAAGGTGCTCTACTACTTGAGCCACACCTTCATTCCAACTTTTTGCTAGTTAATTGGAGATAAGAGTGTCTCAGATTTGTCTGCCTGGGGTAACTCTGAAAGAAGTTCCTCAGATTTCAGCCTCCTGAGAAGCTAGGGTTACTACTAGTAAGGGACCTAAGATATTGGTTATTATGTCTTATAAAAGACCTTAAAAGAGGGCTGGGAGATGGCTCAGTGGTAGAGTGCTTGCCTTGCATGCATGAGGCCCTGGGTTCAATTCCTCAGCACCACATAAGCAAAAAGAAAAAAGCTGGAAGTGGCGCTGTGGCTCAAGTGGTAGAGCGCTAGCCTTGAGCTGAAGAGCTGAGGGACAGTGCCCAGGCCCAGAGTTCAGGCCCCACAACCAGACCCCCCCCCCCAAAAAAAAAGTGATAAGGTCACTGGGAACCAGCGGCTCATGCCTGTAATCCTAGCTACTTTGGAGGCTGAGATCTGAGCATCACAGTTCAAAGCCAGCCTGGGCAGGAAAGTCTGTGAGACTCTTACCTCCAATTAACCACCAGAAAACCAGTAGTGGTGCTGTGGTTCAAGTGTAGAGCAATTACCTTGAGCTGAAGAACTCAGGGATAGTGCCTGGGCCCACTGTTAAAGCCCCATGACAGACAAAAAAAGAAAAAAAAGTGATAAAGTCTTCTTGCCCTTGACAGCTCAAAACCTAGTAAATAATACTCACATATAAACAATTATGCAATTAACTTGGTAATCCTGTGTTGGGAGGAAAGGAGAGTTCAATTTCTGACAGGCTGAGATACATATAGCAAATCAGAGTATTTTAAGATGTAAGTACGGGGCTGGGAATGCAGCTTAGTGGTAGAGTGCTTGCCTAGCATGCATGAAGCCCTGGGTTCGATTCCTCAGTACTACATAAACAGAAAAGGCTAGAAGTGCCACTGTAGCAAAAGAAGCTCAGGGACAGTGCCCAGGCCTAGGACTGGGGGAAAAAAAATGTAGTTAAGGGAGTGAAATGCTTCGGCGACAGATGTAAAATCCACCTCAGTATAGGAGAAGCTGAATAACAAGGAGAAGAGGGTGGACACTGGACCCTTCTTGGCCAGAGAAGGGGCTGAGGCTGATTACAAGGTAAGAAGAGATCCAAGATAGAGTATTTCAAAACCAAGAACTTTGAGCCACAGCGTCACTTCTGGTTTTCTGAGTGGTTTATTGGAGATAAGAGTCTCACAGCCTTTCCTGCCCAGGCTGGCTTTGAACCCTGATCCTAAGATCTCAGCCTCCTGAGTAGCTAGGATTACAAGTGCTAGCCACAGGTGCCAGGCTCTATCTTTTCTTTTGTCAGTCCTAGGGCTTGAACTCAGAGCCTTGGCAATGTCCCTGAGCTTCATTTGTTCAAGGCTAGCACTCTACCACTTGAGCTACAGCGCCACTTCCTGTTTATGTGGTACTGAGGAATTGAACCCAGGGCTTCATGCATGCTAGGCAAGCACTCTATCACTAGCCACATTCCCAGTCCCTGTTTCTGTATTTTCTTTTTTCTTTTTATTGTGAGAATACTGTACAGAGGAGTTACAATTACATGGGCAAGAACTGTTTCTGTATTTTCTATCCATTATTTTGCAGGAGGCATGGCAGAAAGTACATACCTAGAAAATCTGTAAATGGAAAATTAGATGTAATCAGAATGTCTCAACAAGCAGTATACATTATGCTGCCACCAGGAAGTGCTCCAAGAAGGAAGAGGGCTGGAGGTGTGGCTTAAGTGGTAGAACTCATCATAATTTCAATCCTAAGAAATGAGAGAAAACAAATAGAGGAAGAATAAAGCTGGGCCCTAGCGGCTCACATCTGTAATCCTACTTACTCTGGAGGCTGAGGTCTGAGGATCATAGTTTGAAGCCAGCTGGGGCAGGAAAGTCCGTGACATTCTTATCTTTAATAAACTACTCAGAAAAAGCTGGAAAGTGGTGATGTGGCTTAAATGGTAGAGCACTAGCCTTGAGCTGAAGAACTGAGGGACAATGCCCAGGCCCAGAGTTCAAACTCCATGACAAAAACAAAACAAAACAAAAAATCCAGCCAGGCACTGGTGGCTCACGCCTATAATCCTAGCTACTCAGGAGGCCGAGATCTGAGGATCATGGTTCAAAGCCAGCCTGGATAGGAAAGTCCGCGAGACTCTTTTTTTTTTGGGTCCGGTTGTGGGGCCTGAACTCTGGGCCTGGGCGCTGTCCCTCAGCTCTTCAGCTCAAGGCTAGCACTCTACCACTTGAGCCTCAGTACCACTTCCGGCTTTTATCTTTTTGCTTATGTGGTGCTGAGGAATCGAACCCAAGTCCTTAGGCATGCAAGGCAAGCGCTCTACCACTGAGCCACCTTCCCAGCCCCTCCTTGAGACTTTTATCTCCAATAAACCACCAGAAAAACTGGAAGTGGTGCTGTAGCTCAAGTGGTAGAGCGCTCGCCTTGAGCTGAAGAGCTGAGGGATAGCTCTCAGGCCCAGAGTTCAAGCCCTATGACCAACCAAAAAAACCCCAAAGCAATGCAAAACCAAAAATATATGGACTTGGTCTACATTGTACTAATGGGGGGCAAAAATCCATCAAGATTCTTCTCTTTTCTTGGCCGAGCGCCAGTGACTCTCACCTGTAATCCTAGCTACTCAGGAGGCTGAGATCTGAGGATGGCAGTTCAAAACCAGCCTGGGCAGGAAAGTCCGTGAGACTCTTATCTCCAATAAACCACTAGAAAACTGGAAATGGTGCTGTGGCTCAAGTGGTAGAGATCTCACCTTGAGCTGAAGAGTGCAGGGACATCTCCCAAGCCCAAAGTTCAAGCCCCATGACTGACAAAAAAAGGTTCATCTCTTTTCTAATGGGAAAGACAAAAACATAGGCCCTGCTAATTACAGTGTTTCTTACATAGCTAGGGGTATGTGTATGTGTGTGTTAATTGGAGAATCAAAACTAATGGACTTTCTTGCTTACGCTGGCTTTGAACTGAGTTCCTTTTTTTTTTTTTTTTGGGTCTGGTCGTGGGGCCTGAACTCTGGGCCTGGGCGCTGTTCCTCAGCTCTTCAGCTCAAGGCTAACACTCTACCACTTGAACCACAGCGCCACTTCCGGCTTTTTTCTTTTTGCTTATGTAGTGCTGAGGAATTGAACCCAGGGCCTCAGGCATGCAAGACAAGTGCTCTACCACTAAGCCACCTTCCCAGCCCCGAACTGAGTTCCTTGTATCTAGCATTACTAGCCTGAAACATGGTCCTCCTGGCTCCTTGCTTTTTTTTATTCCTCTATTGATGGACACTGGGAATGTTTCCATGTTTGCATTACTGTAACAACACTGCTGTGAGCACGTGTTAAGAATCCTTAGTTCTGGGCTGGGAAGGTGGCTCAGTGGTAGAGCGCTTGCCTTGCATGCCTGAGGCCCTGGGTTCCATTCCAGCACCACATAAGCAAAAAGAAAAAAGCCGGAAGTGGCGCTGTGGCTCAAGTGGTAGAGCGCTAACCTTGAGCTGAAGAGCTGAAGGACAGCACTCAGGCCCAGAGTTCAGGCCCCATGACGGGACCAAAAAAAAAAAAAAAAAAAAAAGAAAAAGAAAAAAAAAAAAAAAAAGAATCCTTAGTTCTCAGTTCCCTTGGACATACATCCTGAAGCTGAATTATTGGATCCAATGCTAATTCTATTTTAATTTATGGAGGTATTTTATTGTATTTACCACAGCAGCTGCATCATCTTACAATTTATATTCCCACCAGCAAAGCACAATGCTTCTAATTGCTCCACATCCTTGAAAACATTTGTTTTATTTTTGGGAGCCATACTAATGGGTGTGAAAAGGCATCTCATTGTGTGTGTGTTTGTGTGTGTTTTCTTTTTTTTTTTTTGCCAGTGATGGGGCCTGAACTCAGTCTGGGCGCTGTCCCTCAGCTATTCAGCTCAAGGCTAGCGCTCTACCACTGGAGCCATAGCACCACTTCCAGCTTTTTCTGTTTATTTGGTGCTGAGGAATTGAACCCAGGGCCTCATGCATGCAAGGCAAGCACTGTACCACTAAGCCACCTTCCCAGCCCCTGTGTGTGTGTGTTTTCTGCCGGTGTGGGGGCTTGAACTCAGAGCCTGGGTGCTGTCTCTGAACTCTTTGCTCAAAGCTAGCCTCTATTACCTTGAGCCACAGCTCCACTTATGGTTTTCTGATGGTTAACTGCAGATAGGAGTCCCTCAGACTTTCCTACCCAAGCTGCTTTGAACCACGATCCTCAGATGTTAGGATTACAGGCCTGAAAAATCAGCACCTGGCTTTTTTTTTTTTTTTTTAATTTCTTTTGTGTCCTGGGCTTTGAATTTAGGGCCTAGGCACTGTCCTTGAATTGTTTTCCTCAGGGCTAGTTAGCATTCTATCATTTGAGCCACTTCCGGTTTTCTGGTGGGTTAATTGGGAGGAGATGAGTCTGACTTTGCTGCAGGGGCTGGCTCTGAACCACCGTCCTTAGAGCTCAGTCCCCCTGAGTAGGTAGGATTACAGGGATGAGCCACCAGCACCCGGCTGGAGTCTTATTTTTGTGAGACAGAAAGGGAGATGATTTGCTTAAGGTCACAAAGGAAGGAGTGGCAGGTCGGAATACGAAAACTAGGGTAACCCGATTCCCAGTGACTTTTCGACGACATAGGCAGGCCAACAAGTAGGTGGACCGCGGGCCCTCCTTGAAAGCTGGTTCCAAAATGGTGGGGGCAGTGGCGTCAGCGACGCCCCCACCGCTTCCGTCCACCTACCTCTCACTTCCCTTGGCCACCCAGGCGGAGGGGGAGGGGAACGGAACGCCGTGACCCACGTGATTGCCGACAGTGCAGCGCGTGACGCAAAGCGGCGGGCCCAACGTTTGCTTTGCCTTGTGGGAAATGTAGTTTAAGAGCCCAGCAAGTAGACGGGGATTGGTAGTTTTCGGACTACGTTTCCCAGGAGGCAGCTGGGGCGTCGCCGCCATCGCCATCGTCCGAGAGCGGGGACTTGGTGCGCGCTGTCGGGCGGGGGCGAGGTTCGGGCCGGTTGTGCCGTTGCGAGGCTGCTGCTTCGGTCGCTACGGTGGGCCCAGGTGAGTGAAGGCCTCGAATGGGAGTTAGGACCCCTCAACCGGTTCGAGTTGTTTCATCTTTTGTGTTTTCTAGGTAGCGGCTGGGCCCGAAGAAGGCCTGGCGCGGAGCTGCTCCCCCGCGCTTCCCACCCGGGCCTCTTCGGAGCGGGCCCTGCTCGCTCGGGCTCCTCCCCCTCCCCGCCCTTCAGGGCTTCCCTGTGCTCCGGCCTAGCCCTCGAGGCTCTGGCCGCCTTTTCTCCGAGTAGCGCGTCCGCGTCTTTATTATTATTATTACTTGCCGTCTGTCGGAGAGAGGTTTCCACAAGCCTGTTCTCTGCCTTCCCTTATTCGTAGGAAGCCCATTATTTGTATGTTCGTCTTTTCCCGGGACTCTTGCGTGCCCTTCCCCCTACGGAGACTCCATCGGTCTGGTTCTGTCTTCCTGGGCTCAAGTGGCTGGCACTGTGCAAATACTAATTATCGCCTTCCCCCCTCCCCCTTTGTGGCCCAAACAGGCATAATCCAAATTTACCTTACCGGAAAAAGTTCTTTTTTTTTTTTTTTTTTTGACGAGGGTGGTTGCATTCCAGTGGTAATCGGCGTGTGCCCTGCTTCTCTGAAGCATGTGTGTCTCAGCACCTAAGCAACTTTTATCTTTTATTTTCTCTGCTCTTCTAAATCTAACCGGTAGAGCGTGACGACGGAAGCGCGGAGCAACGCTGCGGCCCAGAAGTTGGAAGCCATCAGTGGGAGTAGTGTGTACGGGGAGGCTGTTAATTGGATTGAAGGGAAAGCCTCCGAGTGTGGTTGGGCCTGGCCGGGCAGAGCCAGTGAAACTTCTGGTGGCAGTTTTTATAATAGTCGGCTTGGGTTCAACTGATTTTTACCGTTTTTTGATTTTAGATTGAACCTTCTCTTCCAGGTAACTCCAGTTTTATTCCCAAAATACCAGTGAATAACACTGGCTATTTTATCGAGTTATTGTGAAGACTTAAGACTTAAAACCGAAGACTAGCCATTTACTAACTAAATCTTGTATAGGGTTTCTAAACGTTATTCCCTAGAGGAGAGGCATGTGTAATTACCATAATTTTTCTTCCCTTTCAGATGATCTTCCTTGTTTTGTTTGTGAAAATGCTGTCTGTTGTAGTCTGTCCTGTCCCCCAGTTAACCTGATTGTGTATATTATAAAGGTCGGTTAAAAATACAAAATTGCTGATGCCTTGAGAAACTTAACGGATGAAACCAAACTTAGATTGTTCTTTGTTGGGAGATGTATTTTGTGAGCTAGTATTAGTACTCTAGCTGTATCAAAAACTAATTGTAGTGTAGCCATTAGGCTCGATTGCATTTTGTAAAAGCTGTTTGGAGATTCTGTTGGAAACATTTTTTGAAAGCCTTTATGTTCAGTATGTTTTTCAGTATTTTTATATTTACTTTTTTCAATCCTTTTAGCACCAATAAACAATCTCCAATTACAGAGATTGGTGTTTACGGGGTGCCTAAGTACAGTTCAGTTTTAGTGGTGGTGTAGTAACAGTTTTTTTAGTATATGTCATTTGAATAAAGCTACTTTTGAGATGGGTTTAGTTAGTGAAACAGTGGATATAGGCCTGGGGTTGTAGTACAGTGCTTGTTTAGCATGTCCAAGAGATAACATCCTCAGTAGGGGGGGAAAAAAAAGCTTGGCACGGCCTGTGAGAATCTCTAATAAATTACTCAGAAAGAGCCAGTAGTGGCACTGTGGCTCAAGTGATAGAGCTCTAGCCTTGAGTACAAAGCTCGGATACAGTGCCCAGACCCTGAGTTCAAGCCCCAAGGCTGTCAACCATAACAAACAAAAAAATTATGGATTAGGGCTGGGAAGGTGGCTCAGTGGTAGAGCGCTTGCCTTGCATGCCTGAGGCCCTGGGTTCGATTCCTCAGCACCACATAAGCAAAAAGAAAAAAGCCTGAAGTGGCTCAAGTGGTAGAGCGCTAGCCTTGAGCTGAAGAACTGAGGACAGTGCCCAGGCTCAAGAGTTCAGGCCCCACGACCGGATCCAAAAAAACAAAACAAAAAAACCAAAATTATGAATTATAAAAGGTTGTTTTGTATTGATAAAGGAAGCTTGGAATATGTCCGAGGTGACATAGAAGTAGGGAAGTTTTAGTCTGATTGGGAGAATGCAGACATAAAATTTATTTTAGGATGGACAGTTCTAACTACTAAAGAGTCTTAGGACTCTAGTTGGGAATAGTGACATCCTGAATTGAAGGAACTGTGGTTAATGCTATTAATCTAGATTGTGGATGATTTCATTCTTTATTATTATTTTTTAAACCAGTATATAAGATAAATTAACTTTTTGATTCAGTGATTCAACAAATTCTGTGCTTGGCCCTGTCAGTAAACTGGGTCTTTTCTCTTTGGGAACTTACAAGGTTGTAGGAGAGGGCACAAAAAGTAGGCAAATAAATTTACAAATTGAGAAAAGTAGTATGGAGGTATTGAGCAGGGGACATTGAAAAAGGGAAGATCTAACAGTTCAGAGAAATGCTTTTTGGGGAAAGTCAGAAATCAATTTTGTAGGGCATTAAAGAGAGGGAGAGCCGGGTGCTGGTGGCTCATACCTGTAATCTTAGCTACTCAGGAGGCTGAGATCTGAGGATTGTGGTTCAAAGCCAGCCTGGGCTGGAAAGGCCTTGAGACTCTTACCTCCAGTAAACAACCAGGAAACCAGAAGTTGCGCTGTGGCTCAAGTTGTAGAGTGCTCGCCTTGAGCTGAAGAGCTGAGAGTTCAAGCCCAGGACTGACTAAAAAAAGAGAGAGAAAGAGAGGGAGTACCACGGTGAAGGAAGTTGCAGGTTCCCAAACTGGAATGGACAGAGTTGTAGTGTTTTTATAACTGAAAGAATGCTAGGTGTAAGAGTGTGACAAAATGAGGACATTGTTTAATGATGGCTTAAAGAGGCTGTTTGGACATCCCAGTGGGCAGAAAAAGGTTTTTTTTTTTCTTCTGATAAAAACAGATGAGGGAAGATTTGTGGCTTAGTGTGGGGAGAGTTATTTGTTTACTTTTGCTGGGTTTAAATTCAGGGCCTCATGATTGCTTGGCTGGCATTCTACCACTTGTGCCACATTTCTACTCTAGCTTTTTGTGGGTTGGTTTGGAGATGTGGTCCCTTCTAAAGTAGCAAGGATTATAGATGTGTGCTACTGATTCCTGGATTTTTTTTTTTTTTTTGATCCGGGCTTGAACTCTGGCTTGGGCACTGTCTCTGTGCGCTTCAACTCAAGGTGAACGCTCTGCCACTTGAGCCACAGTGCTACTTCCAGTTTTCTAGTGGTTTATTGGAGATAAGAGTCTCACGGACTTTCCTGCCTGGGCTGGCTTTCAACCTCAATCCTCAGATCTCAGCCTCCTGAGTAGCTAGGATTTCAGGCATGAGCCACGGGCGCCCAGCTAGATTCCTGGATTTTTGATGGATGATGTGTCTAAGATCACTTTTGCAGAGGTAGAAACTGAACTGTGTTTAACCTTCAGGACTAGCACAAAAATAAATACTTGAGAAATTTAGTATAAAATTTTGCATTCCAGTGCTGGGAAGTTGGCTCAGTGGTAGAGTGCTTTCCTCACATGCATGAGGTTCTGGGTTCGATTCCTCAGTACCACATAAGCAGAAAAAGCTGGAAGTGGCGCTGTGGCTCAGCTGTAGCTCAAGTGGTAGAGCACTCGCCTTGAGTTAAAAATTATACCCCAAGTAAAATGGTAACCCTTGTACAACTAAAGATAGCTAAAAGAAAAAAAGCTTTAAAAAAAAGCATGAGACCCTGAGTTCCAGCCCAGTACATGCACACACAAAGAAACAACACAACAAAAGCAATTTTAGGCCAGGTGTTGATGGCTCACACTTGTAATCCTAGCTACTCAGAAGGCTGAAATCTGAAGAATTGCACACACAGTCCTGGAACTTGAATTCATTGTCTGTGTACTGACCCTCTTTTTTTTTGGGGGGGGTGTCAGTCATGGGGGCCTGGGTGCTGTCCCTTCAGCTCAAGGCTAGCACTCTACCACTTGAGCCACAGTGTCACTTCTGGCTTTTTATGCTTATGTGGTGCTGAGGAATCAAACCCAGGGCCTCATGCATGTGAGGCAATCACTCTAACACTGAGCCAACTTCCCAATCCTGACCCTCAGTTTTTTTGCTCAACGCTAGCGCTTTGCCACTTGAGCCACACATCCATGTCTGGCTCTTTTAAATTTTTTTTGGGTGTCTAATTGGTAATAATAGACTCATAGACTTTTCCTGTCCAGGTGAGCTTTGTACTGTGAATCTTAGATCTCTCAGTTTTCAGAGTAACTAGAATTTATAGGCATGAGTTACCAGCCTCCAAGTTGGCTTCTTTGCTTTTAATATGCTGGTACTGGGGCTAGAACCCTTGGCCTTATACTTTGCCTGACTTTTCCCCTCACAACTAGCTACTCTCCCACTTGAACTACACCTCCAGTTCCCATTTTTGCTTTTTTTTTTTTTTGGTCCGTTGTGGGGTTTGAACTCAGCCTGGGTACTTATCTGAGCTTTTTTTTTTTTTTTTTTTTGTCAGTAGTGGGTCTTAAACTCTGGGCCTGGGCACTGTCCCTCAGCTCTTCAGCACAAGGCTAGCACTCTACCACTGAGCCACAGCGCAACTTCCGGTTTTTTGAGTGGTTTTTTTTTTTGGAGATAAAGAGTCTCACGGCATTTCCTGTCAGTGCTGGCTTTGAACCATGATCCTCAGATCTCATCCTGAGTAGGATTACAGGTGTGAGCCACTGGCACCCAGCTTGAGAAAGGTTTCTAATGATTCCATCAAATTTGTTTTTGTGTCTTAATATTACATCACTTTTTTTTTTTTTTGCCAGTCTTGGGGCTTGTTTCCAAACTAAAGAAAAGGAAGGATATTTAAAAAGCAGCATCTTTCTGAAGACTGGTCTGATGATTGTCTATGCCTTTTTTAGCTGGCATATGTGCAGTGTCCTCATTTTGTTCTGCCTGTTTTGTAGCTTCTGGAACGTTCTAACTGCATAGCTTGGCATGTCTTAGAAGATAAAAGGTCTAGGAAGGGGAAGTTGCTAGCTAGATTTCTAATTATAAAGCTTTTGAGTTGGTACCAGTGACTTGTGCCTGTAATCCTAGCTATTTGGGAGGCTGAGATATGAGTATTGTGGTTCAAAACTGGCCCTGGGCTGAAAAATCTCAGAGACTCTATTTCCCTTTAACCAGCACAATGCTGGAATTGGAG